CAGTACTTTCTGATACTTGATTTTCAGCATTGGCTTTTGCTAAATGGCTACTACATATCCTTCAATTAATTCCTCTTTTCCCTTGTGAGCTGCCAGAGTAAAATATGTAACTTTCGACAAAAGGATCCTAAATTATAGACTTTTTAAGCAATGCAGTCCAGAGTTTGACACCTGCTCCCACCACTGAGGCCTCAGTATGTGTTTATCTTATATGTCCTTGACTAACTCTGGTATTAGCGTAAATAATGCCCAAATAATTATCTCTCCTCCCCACCCCAAAAGAATCTGAGTCACTTCTCCCTCTGATCTGCCATATAATTCTCAAGTAGGCAACACAAATGGCAGTTGCAAAGGCTAAGGGGAAAAGGGTGTTAAAAAAAATCTTATCTGTCTTAAAAGTCATGAATGAAATAAAGGAAACTGTGTTCATAGCACCTGACTCACATGATTACTGTGGGTGAGCCATCAATATGTAGATAGAAAGAAAATAATTGGCATAAGCTCCTTGAAATTTCTGCCTACAGCCTCCCCAAGGAGGCCTTGGGGAGATTCAGATAGCATTTGAACAGCCAGAGTTTAGTAATAAGAACTGACATTCTAGTATGTAGTACAAAAGACACTTCCCTTCCGGAACCATGAAAAGTACTTTAATCAGCCAAAACGTTGCTACTGTAAAAAAAAAAAAAAAAAAATAGGAGGGGATAAAAGCCCCCTCATTTATTGTTTCTCCACCACTGCTAGGCCCAACTCCTACTAAATGGACGAGCCCCTTTGGCATCATCTATGCCTACCTCATTAATGCCATTTGCTCACTGCTATGCCAGAAAACCCAGCTGATTCACAGGAAACCCTGAGCTGAAGGTTGCCTGGGTTTCGAGTTGCTTATGCACACAATTCACACTCCATGTGTTAGAAGCCCCCTCTGTTCTGCAAATCACTCAGTGAGCCTGAAAAGTGGGAAACGGCTTTGTACTCTCTCTCTCTGGCTCCTCCCTGAGCAGTCAAACCCCAGGGTGCCCCCGGAATATTTGATTCCTTATAACTCAAAACAACCATCACAAAGAAGGAGAAAAGGTTAAATCCCCAAGCGAGGCACCCAGAATGAACAGCCTGAGAGATTGGAAAAGGTAAGCTGAGAAAATACTCAGATTCCTCTAGCAAAAGCTAAAGCTAAAACAAGGCTTGTTTCATGCCCAAGGCAGGAAGTTAAAGATTGAGCCAGTTCCATTCTGAGAGGTTCATTGGAGGGTGAGGTCTCCTTCTCCATTCGCACCCCCTCTGTCGTCCTCTCTGGTATCCAGTCTTCCTCCTGGCATGCTGTTTTTCTTTGTCCCCTTCCTTCTAGCTGAAGCAAATACTCTGTTACTAATAATCATGGTTACCCATGTCATTAACAGACAATATTTTCAAGGCAATAATCATAGAATATCTAAGTGAGGCATGAGATTCTGAGGACTTTGGATATATATGCAGATTGCTTTGTAGAAATAGCCAAACACATCCTTTAATGTGTGTGCAGAATCTAAGAACTAAAATGTGAAATCACACCCCTTTCCTGAGGGAATCCTGCATTGACTTACTGTTTCGTGTGGGTTATAAAGACCTAGTCCCCTTGCCCTGATTCAGGACATCTCTGAAAATCCATTCCAGCTCCAGAGTGCCCCCTGTAAGACATGGGGAAAAAAAACAAAACAAACAAAAAATGCCATGCTGTGTTGCAGTCCAACATCTCCCTCCGCTCAGTACTGCTTTACTTACTCCCTCAGCAATGTTGACCCAATAAACTTATTGCGTTAATTTTAAAAAAAAGAAACTAGAAAAGACTGAAGAGGTCTTAAAACCCAACCCCCTACCCAGTCTACCCAGTAGGACTCAATTCTGTGCTATCCTAGAGATAATCAAATGGACTTCCCTTTAACCTTCCAAGTGTTTGAGGTTCCCACATTCTTACGAAGAATTGAAGAAAAGAAAATGTTCCTTGGGGTAAGCAAATCTCTGACATCAGAGATGTTTGACACCATGGAATTCTATAAAATGATGAACTATGGGCCAGAAAGAAAGAACAGCTTCTTGACCAAAGGGTGCTACATAAAATTATTAAAATGTGATGGTCAGCCAGGTGAGATGTCTCATGCCTGTAATCCCAGCACTTTGGGGGGCTGAGTTGGGCAGATCACATGAGGCCAGGAGTTCAAGACCAGCCTGGCTAACATAATGAAACCTCATCTCTACCAAAAAATACAAAAAATTAATTAGCTGGGGACAGTGTGGTGGTGCATGCCTGTAATCCTAGCTACTCAGGAGGCTGAGGCATGAAAATAACTTGAACCTGGGAGGCGGAGGTTGCAGTGAGTCAAGATTGCGCCACTGCACTCCAGTGTGGCTGACAGAATGAAACCCTGTCTCGGAAGGAAGGAAGGAAGGAAG